GGTTTCCAAGCCGGTTTTGGCCAGCTGCTATACCTTTTGCCTGCTTCTAACGCAACTCTAACGATGAGAACGGCGTGGAGTTGTGAGTCGCGAGTGGATCCCAATCCCAACTGCATATTAATCAGAGAGTGAGCCGGAGAATGGGGCCGGAGCAGAGGAGAATTCGCAAGAATTCTTATTAAAAAGCGAGTTTGTGTTTTTGTTGTTCTAAGCACGTTGGAAAAGTGAGAAGCGCATAGAACGGCGCACGCGTCGCGCTGAGAAGCGATCTCATGACGAGATGAGGAAGTGATTAAGCCCCCAAGAAGGAAGTGCTCGCCTCAGATGTCTGTGATTTGTATTTCCAGTTTATTTTCTTTTCTGTTCTCTATTTTTGCACAGGCCTATCGGTCCGCGAATTTGCATTAATGGATAGATTTGCCACACCTCTCCCGCCGAATCTCACGCACATTGCCATGCGAGTGGCGTCACGTAGATAAAGACATTACTTACCTGGGCCCACAGACTTCTTATCTGGCCCTCCGATTCTTTTGCAAATACCATTTTTCGGTAGCCCAAAGTCACGGTGAGGTTTTCTATTCGTATTCCGTATTTATTTGCCAAGCGATCGTGTGGCTGTGCTGTTGTGTGGTTAGGGCAAATATTAGAATCGATCATCTATCAGTGTTTTCTTGATTCTGTTTTTTGTATTTGACTGGGCCATTCATTAATCACTCCGAGCAGGTAACCCCCGTGAGGTTTAAATCGATTTCCAGCTTATTTCTATAGTTTTTATATCCGGTTGGCAATAGGAAAATAGAAAAAGGTCTTGATTGGAAATGGTCTAATAAGAACGTGAGATATTCCACTTTAATTTGTATCCCCTTCGCTGACGATAATAAAACCAATAAGAAAGTATTCGTTTTGATTTTCTCGGAAGGTACACACAAAAAAAGGTTTAAGGCGGCTATTTCTAATAAAAATACACTAGGTTAGGGTAGGCCAAGATCTTCTTTTGTTTTCCAACGATAACTTTCCTATAACCAATTACGGATTTCTTACTATTATTCTTAAGACTTCGCATATGATTTTACTTAGTGAATATATAGATTTTCGATGCTAAATTAGATAAATAAATAATTAAATAAAGAAAAATATTAAATGAAAAATCTTCCCTTATTTCTTGTGGATTTTATGATTATTGAACCAATTGTTCCCCAATAAACATCGCATTATGCAGACATTTTGCAATCTGGCGAAATTCGCAACACAATCGTTACACATATTTTTCGGCTATTAACCTTGAACTTTATCACGCCTGGTCGGCTATTATCTTATCTGGCGTAAAAACCCATTAAGCGTGTTCTTTTTTCTGCCAGACATTTATATACCTTGCAAAATAGCCAAAAACCCAGAGAACCGAGAACAATGTGTTATCGCCTGTTGGCAATAATAATGCAAAATCGATGATCAACTGGGGTGGCCAAGAAAGCTATATAAAGACCAAATACAAATTAGTCGACCGGTTGGCATCGAGTCGAATCGAAAGGCCAGACTTCAATTAGAGGCCTAGAATCGCCGGGGAGAATTAGCATAAGTGCCGCCAAAGTGGATTAAGTCAGTAAGACCCAGAATTCTAATTGCAGCGCCCCATGGTAATGGCCGTGATACTGTTGCTGGCCCTGGCACTTGTACTCGGCTGCTACTGCGCTCTCCATCGGCACAAATTGGCTGAGATCTACCTCCGGCCGCTCCTGAAGAACACGCCGCTGGAGGATTGCTACCATGCCGCGCCCATCGAACAGGAGGCGCCAAGGAGGAGGAAACGTGGCATTTGGGACATCCCCGGGCCACAGCGGATTCCCTTCCTGGGCACCAAGTGGATATTCCTGCTCTTCTTCCGCCGCTACAAGATGACCAAGCTGCACGAGGTATATGCGGGTAAGACATTATCTAGAGAAAGCATTATTTATAATTAGTGATTGGTCTACAAAGTGCAAAGCAGAAATATAATTTTAATTATATATTGAAGGGATATTTAGATCGTAGAATAAAAAAAATATATTTATTTGTTCTGAAAGTTTATCGTTTTTAACCTTTTCACTACTTAATTAGATCTTCAAAGCATAAACATAATATACCTATAATATGAATTATTAAAATGTTATGTTTTAGATCTCAACAGGCAATATGGCGACATAGTGCTGGAGGTGATGCCCTCCAATGTGCCCATTGTGCACCTGTACAACCGCGAGGATCTGGAGAAGGTGCTGAAGTACCCCAGCAAATATCCTTTCCGACCGCCCACCGAGATCATCGTGATGTACCGCCAGTCCCGACCGGATCGCTATGCGAGCGTGGGGATCGTGAACGAACAGGGGCCAATGTGGCAGCGTCTTCGATCCTCCCTGACCTCCAGCATTACTTCTCCGAGGGTTCTGCAGAACTTCCTGCCCGCCTTGAATTTGGTTTGTGATGACTTCATCGAGCTACTGAGATCTCGACGGGATCCGGAGACCCTGGTGGTCCCTAATTTCGAGGAGCTGGCCAATCTGATGGGTCTGGAGGCCGTCTGCACTTTGATGTTGGGCCGGAGGATGGGTTTCCTGGCTGTCGATACGAAACAGCCGCAGAAGATCAGTCAACTGGCAGCCGCTGTCAAACAGCTTTTCATCTCGCAAAGGGACTCGTACTACGGCCTGGGTCTGTGGAAATACTTTCCCACCAAAACGTACAGGGAGTTCGCCCGGGCCGAGGACTTGATCTATGAGTAGGTACACACCTATCTTGGTCTCCCATTCTATTTCCATTTAACTGAAATCGCTTTCTCTCCAGTGTGATCTCCGAGATCATCGACCACGAGCTGGAGGAGCTTAAAAAGTCGGCTGCCTGCGAGGACGACGAGGCTGCTGGCCTGCGGAGTATCTTTCTCAATATTCTGGAGCTCAAGGATCTTGATATCAGAGACAAGAAGTCGGCTATTATAGACTTTATAGCCGCGGGCATAGAAACGGTGGGTATTTCTTCATGCAAATTTAACGGAATTCTTTTCTAATAATTTTGATTTTTAGTTAGCCAACACCTTGCTGTTCGTGCTCAGCTCAGTTACTGGAGATCCTGGGGCCATGCCTCGCATCCTGAGTGAATTCTGCGAATATCGGGACACTAATATCCTGCAGGATGCTTTGACGAATGCCACATACACAAAGGCCTGCATACAGGAGTCCTATAGACTGAGGCCCACCGCCTTTTGTCTGGCCAGGATTCTAGAGGAGGATATGGAGCTTTCGGGATATTCTCTAAATGCGGGGGTAAGTTGAATTACTTTTTTTTAAATGTCTATGCAAGATATGTCAATACTTGAAATCTTTTAAAAATATTATTCGTATACAAAAAATAAAAAAAAAACCTTTAAATGTTTGTAAATAATTTATTTATTAATATACCATTTAATAAATAAGGACAAAGCCAATAACATATTTTTATTAACATTTTATTGACTCTCATTGTTTTTCCGATTCTTAGACCGTGGTGCTCTGTCAGAACATGATTGCGTGCCACAAGGACAGCAACTTCCAGGGAGCCAAGCAGTTCTCCCCGGAGCGTTGGATTGATCCTGCCACGGAGAACTTCACGGTGAATGTGGATAGTGCCAGTATTGTGGTGCCCTTCGGAGTGGGTCGAAGATCGTGTCCGGGAAAGCGTTTTGTGGAAATGGAGGTGGTGCTACTGCTGGCTAAGGTGAGTATAATCTATAATCTATATCTTTAGATAGGGTCACTGAACTAACAAACTATTTTCATGTTTTTCAGATGGTCCTGGCCTTCGATGTGAGCTTTGTGAAGCCCCTGGAAACGGAATTCGAGTTTCTGTTGGCTCCCAAAACTCCGCTCAGTTTGAGACTCAGCGATCGGGTCTTCTGATCGTGGGTGCTGAGAAAACTGAGCCCCAAACACTGCCTACCCCCAGGCGTTAATATAGCTAAGAACTGAACCATTAAGTGAAATTAATGTAAAATATGCTTAGGACTCTACACATATCCTGTATACCCGATGAGCCACAATCAGCAGCCTAGTCCTGTGAAGCAATCAAATTAAGAGCAAATCCAATCAAAGTAATTTTATGCTGAATGGATATTATGTAGATTTAGATGTATATACAATGTGTCAAGTTTTGTTGTAATAACCTAGTTATCGGATCATATTATAGTTATTGTTAGTTCTAGCAAATAAGTAGCAGCAATTGTTTTTGAGAGTTGTGTAAACGGAAAGACTGTGTTTAAGTTTTGTTTTTCATGATTTTAACAGTTTTTAAATATTTTCTGTATATAGTTATGAAAATTTGCCACTCAACTTGTGTACAGTTTAATTTTATTTGTATTTATTCAACTGTTTCTACTGCCTTCTTTTTATTTCATCTCTATATCTGTGAATATTTTTGTTAAAAGAAATATAATATTCAAATGAATTGAAATTAAACAAAATCAAAAGTTAAAAACATAATTTAGGAATGTGTTTCATTTTATTGGTATTTTGTAGACTTCTTATGATGACATCGTACATCGCAATTTCTGGATAAAATTTTTACCATAAAAAATTTCTTCTAAGTAAAGCTTTCTTTTTGGTTTGTGTCTTTACTATTTAGGGAAATTTCATAAAATGGTTCAACAGTCGCTTCCCATTAAGCCGAGTATGTTTTAAAAAAAATCCCTTTTGAAAATTCTCCGTGTTAAACCACAAATTTTAATAGAGCATTTCAAGCTTAAACAAAACACGAAATTGGTTGACATTGTTTGCATGTCATGCAGGTGTTAATTATTAATTATTATTATTCAATATTTGGTCAGCGCTTAAAAAACAGTCGACTTGAACACGTTTAAGCGCCTACTTCGGAGCTCTCTTAGGTCCACTGGCTTACTCTTAACCTGTTAGTTCTCCGAACCACTCTCTTCTTCTTTGGGCTGTGGCTATTTAGCTCGTTTGGCGGGCTTTGGAACGGTTTGGTTTGGTTTCGGATTTGGGTTCAGGTTACAACAGTTGTCGTTGGCGTGTCGTCGGTTTCAGAGCGTTTCGAAAACTCAATTTCCGCTCTAAGTCGCAGTTGGAACTGAAATATCAAAAACTATCTAGCGCGCGTGAAAAAATTCATTAATTTATTTGTGTACTTTGTGTGAGATATAACTGACAAGCTAACCTTAAACATTTGGCTGCACTTGTGTTCCGCACCTCTCTGCAATCTCAACAAAAAGCTAAAAAATGTAATACAATAATCCAAAACTAAATTTAAAATAAAAATCTCAAACCAGTTTCTCGTTTGCTCGGCAGTAACTAATATTTAGAAGAGTTGAAAATGCACTCAACAAACAGAAAAAGAAAACTAAAGTTTGTTCAGCTTCCGTCACAGTTTCGATTCTCCCTCAAAGATCTCTCGATTTAAATGGAGTCTGTGAGATCGGAGGGCCCCACCCAGAGCTAATTGTACAATAAACAAGCACAGAAACAACAATAACTACATCAGCAAGACGGTCGCAGTATTTTGTTGTTATTGTTAGACATGCTAATTTTGCACAATCTACACACACAACAACAACTACAACACTGGCTAACACAAATTAGTTTGTTTAATGTGACTCACTGACAATTTTCTCACCGTCGACGCGGCCCCTCCCCTTTGATGCAGCTTTAATTAGGTGACAAATACTGGGGTTTATGAAACGACAATATATACATCTTAAATGAGTTTTAAAACAATTAGGTGGAATATTAAAAAAGCCATTTTAAATACATTAATCCGCAAAAATCATTCCTCTACGTATCAATAGTGCCCACCCAGCCATAGGATTATTTACATGATATTTCAAAAATATTCCGAATTTGTGCATCCAAAATCTACAAAAATGGAAACCCAAATCGAAAAAGCTCTGAGCCCAGATTGTTTATTTTAACACTCAATTACAGGTTTCGCGCGCATGAGTTTACCCTTTGGGAACCGAACCCTTTCAATCCAATACCAATATTCTTTATGGACACTGACCTTCAATGACAGACCCGACACGAAACAATCATTGAAGGAACACAGTGACAGTTATCCCAGTATACGTATGGGAAAATCCCGACGAGCCTTGGCCAATTGCTTTGGCATTGAATTGGCCAACAACCCCCAACAGAGCCACATAGAAAACTCCCCCAACAGCAACTACCCTTTGTAAATCCCTACCCATCCCGCACTTCCTGCAAAAAGTTGCATGTTTAGGGCTAAAACAAAGGCTAAGTTGGTAGCTAGAAACGGTGTGGGTCTGAATGGGGTCAAAGGCAACGACACCAGCAACTATTGCCAAGAATATGGAAAATAATTGCAAAAAATTGCATTCATGCAGTTGAGTTATGAGCCTTCAAGATACCCATTACAGATATTTTTTATGAATTTTCATAAATCTTTTTTCATGGCTTTGTTTTAAAAGATAAAATATTATAAATGTGGTGTGAAATAAATAAGTTTGATATATGACCACTTTGAAAGTGGTTTCTTTATTTTTTAAGTTTTGTCATTTCCTTAAAAGCATCTATAAAAAAGTTTAATAACAAAGTTCAAACACGAAAAAACAGGAAGACTTTAAAAATTTTAAGTGTAATATATTTTTTTCATTAAAACATTTGCTAAAAATACCCTTTAGCTCGCGCATTTACCCGTGTTAGGAAAATGCAGCTGGGAAATCGCGAACTGCCCTTCGCCAAGAGAGAAAACTAAGGCGATGACCAAGTACAGTAGGCGCCTTATACATATATGTATTTTTATTTGTTTGAGGTGGCTCTGCCCTCTCTCTCCCCCATTGGCCGTCCCTGTCGCTCTCGTCTGCAACCAGTTTGCAGTTGTGCATATCAATGCAAGTGTGAGGGGGAGGCAGACCGCCCGAGGGGGCGAAAAAGGGGGCGGCAGAGGCTTGAAACGAGTTTTGTTGCATTTTTCAATTGCCCAAGACTGCGATTGAAAGATGAGAGATACAGATGATATGGCTCTTTGGATCTCGGGTTTTCAGGAAATTGGAAATGAGGCTTAATAAAGCCAGCCAAGTGGGGATTGCTTTAGCAAATTCTTAAGATGGAATCCAAGAACCAAAACAAAACGGATAATCGAGAACAACAACAAGTCATTGACCCAAAACACAGACCAGTTATAGGGCTGCTTGGTAAGAAAAAAGTCCCTTTTGAGCCTGAAAGCGAAACGAGGTTAATTCACAGTGTTGGACGCAAGGTAAGACCACCTTTTGAGAGAAAAAATCCTCTCTAAAATACGCAGGTGTGGCAGGTAGTCACGCTCTCTCTTAGCCACACTGTACCGCTCTTTAAGCCAAGTTCTCTTTTTTCTAAAACAAGTTTTCTTAGCCAATACGCTTTGTTTACCTTTTTTTGTGCTTCGTGGCTTGTTGCGTGTGTTTTGTTTGGTTTCTGCTTTTTGGGCTTTCTTCTTCTAAGCGCCGCCGAAGAAAACTTGTTTTTTTTTGGTTCAAAGGGGTGGTGAAGGGGTGTTCGATTGTGGGCCAAAACGTGAAGCACTCGTTAGCAACAACACGCAAACAGTTATCCACTGAAATTCCAATTTTTAAGAGCTGCAAGTCCGAAAATTGCTGAGGCGATTTTATGGAGAGGAAAATTGGTGTTGTAATAAAAGAAATTTTAAAAACTTTAGCAACTTTTAACTTTTAAATATTAAAAAATAAGAATTCAGAATTGTACAAAAAATAATACGAATATTTCTTACCCATTATTTTAATAAATAAGAAACAATTCAATATTTTCCTTATTTATTTTTCAAAAGATTTGTAAAGTATTTTTTTGCTTTCTGTTATTCACAGATTTTCCTTAAGTTATATACGAATTTTGTATGATTAGTATAAATGTTCTTAGGGCTACAAAGATTAATCATGAAAGATTAAAAATTGAATAATACATAAGGTGGCTTTTGTTCCACTGTATTAGAAGTTGAGGTAGTTTCCTTTATCTATTGGATGTTTACCTTTGCAACCAGAACCTAGACACTAAAATGTTTATTAACTCCAAGCCCTCGTTTTGTAATGAGGGAGTGTCTTGGGCCCATATTATCTTTTCCCTTCAATTCTCTATATAGCTCTTTCTCTCTTGCCTTCCCTTTACCTTTTCCCCCCTCCTCTTCCGCAGTGAAAGTTATGCGTGACCCTTTTTTAGGGTTTGAGCTGAGTTTCCAGTTTCATTTCGAGTTTGACTTATTTTTTCTGGTTTTCCACTTGCATTTTAATTATTGTTTATGGGGTTACACATCGCGGGGTTAACTAGCACATTTTCCTCCCCACTTCCCGCCCCACTCTTTTACTGTACGTGCCTTTGGCTAATATTGGGCTTTTGGTTTGTTCTTTGTGTGATGCAATTAGCTTCAATCAATGAGGGGAACCGACAAAAAAACCACGGAGCGATTCCATTGTTGCTTATTAAGAGGAGATCCAATTCCACGCAATATACACAGAGAAAAACACCGGAAATCCATGAATTCTTTAGTCAATTTAAAATGTTTTTCCACTATAGTTAAGTGGCTAACATAAATTATACCTACCTATCTATAAACTCTAGGTATCTATATAAATTTATTAGAAAATTTATAATTGTTGAAATCGAAAACCTAACTTATTTAGATTTCAGTGGTTTCTGTGTTTTGTTATCTCATTTATTTTAATTTTTTGCTTTGAGAATAGTATATGATTTTTAAAATGAAACGTATAACAGTTACGGTTTTGAGTAAAATCCTACATTAATAACACTGTTGTCAAACCCATTTTTTGAGAATATGAGAATATTGAGAATATTTTATTGGGCTAGAAAACATTTTAAACTCAAAAATGTGGTTCTATTTTTAAGCACATTTTCACTCAACAGAGAATGTCAGAATTCTCTTTGATTAGTTTCAAAATTCTAAACGCAGTGTAGGTGTTTCTTAGATAGAATATTTTTAACCTGTATGGTTTCTTTCAGTGCAGACCTAGAATAAATACCGCAAAAAGGTGAACACCTGTGATCCGACAAAGGTGACGATTGGGCGACGTAGCTTGTAATTAAAGATTGAAAATAATAGAATTATAGATGAAGTGTCACAAGACAACGTTTATAGTTGAGTTCTATTATTCATAAGAATTTTTGATCCAAACTCACGTAGGCTGCTCGCATTCTCATGTCGAATTTGGTATGCATCTCGGCACCTCGCGGGCGAATTTACCTCCATGTGTACGTAGTTATAAACCCCACCCAAAAGTCCCACACACCCAATTAGATGAGATCATCGCAGAATGTGCCCTTAATCAATTTGGTCTGCAACTGGATGTATTTCATGTGGGAGACCTTCGGCCATCAATTGACACAAATCCGCAACAGAACGTAGACTGTTCAGTTTTACTTGTTTGCACGCTCCACCGAGCATCCAATAACAAATACCCGATAACCCAGAGACGGAGGCCAAATATGGCCATTAAACCCGACTTTAACTGAGCACTAAAAAGCCAAAATTGAAGATTTCGTTTCCTCTGTAGGTCGAGAACGCATCCAAAAGACTCAGCAACATGAGTTACTTGCGATCGATAGGTATATATATAAATAAGAAATATTTTCGTCATTGTATCTTTTCCCCGAGCAAATGCCAAAGTGCCCAAAATACCAATTAAAATAATAGTGTTATTTAATTAATTAATTGTTTAATTGCTTGGTGCAGAAATCTCACGCGTCGAAATGTCGCCGGCTGATGATAATTCCTTTGCCACAACCCAGGGCAACAAAAAGGCCACCTACACGCTGATATGCATCAAAATTGTGGAACTGGTAAGATATTTCAATTTAGTTCTTATATTAAATATTTTTTTTAATTTCAACCCATGAAAAAAATATTATTTTGGTTAAAAATATAACTATTTAATAAAATTTGTTTTCTTATAAAATGTTTTTACATTAAAGGGTCCCTTAGGATCCGATAAAAAATGTGTTTTATTTTCACCACTATTTGGGGTTTTGAAATTTCTGAGACTTATTAGTCTATCGTACCTAATGTTAATACTAAAGTATTCATATTTTATTCCCAACAGTGCCTGCTAATATGCTGCCTAGGTCTGATCGATGAGCCGGCCACCAATTCTCATCTGCGGGTGTTCATTACACCCCGAGTGGCTGCCCTTTGCTATGTGACCTTTGGTGCCCTGACTATTTACACTGCGATCTATCTGATAATGGCGCTTTTTGGTGATCTGTGAGTTGAATGCGAAATTCAATTAAATAGCTATTTATAATATTTATTCATTACCAACAGGACCCCCTGGCGAACGGCTACTTTGTGGAACCTGACGGCCTTCGTGCTGTTTGTGGCCGTGACCGCTCTGCTCTTCCGGGATTGGTCGACCACCAAGGATCGCAACTACTGGCACCCGAATATGCATCGCTTGGATCTCGTGATGGCTTCGGCCTCCATCGCCTTGGTCACCTCGCTGGTCTTCCTGTTGGACATTCTCATCACCATCCGTTTCGGCGTCCACGGCGATCTGGATTGACATGGTCGATCCCGTGAGGTTTGGCGGAACAGAGGTATCCACTCGATTCTCGCCCAGAGTGGACTGTAATATTTATAGCTCCAACTTAGATGTAAGAGCCCGTTCACATCCCCGTCTCCCAGCTAATTGTAATCCCACGAGAAAACATCTGAATTGCCATCATCGAATCGAAAATGTACAAAAACGACGTCCGAGGAGGTTTAAAGTTCTTATCGCATCGGCTGCCCTGTTTTGTTTTTTTTTATAAGCTTAGTACATCGAGCATCACGAACGTTTTATCTAATCCAATTAATATCTAAGATCCAACACGAATAAATTTTGTACGAGCGAATATTTTCACAAATCAAAAATGTAACTTTCTATTTTCTATTGAAACGGTTTAAAAAAATATCGTATTTTTAATGTATTATTGATAATTTACTTATTATATACAAGTCGAAACATTAACGAAAAAAAAAGATTCTTCAACTGTTAACAAGGCGAAACAATTCGTTGTGATGAAGTCATGCGGCTTGGGGATGGAGCTATTGGAAGTTACTTGGACTTGATAAAGTATTTCTCAATGTCTTGATCGTTGTTGATCATCTGCAGGCCATGGAAGGTCTCCTTGATGTAGCACTTCCCAGCATCGCCGTCACCTAGAATTTAATTATTAATTTTGATGATATTTACAGATATTCGGTATACCGTACCCAAACTTCCATCACAAATGCGCTGAGTGAGCAATTTTGCCAGTGCTTTGAAAAGCTCTTTGGTGGCTATTTTTCGTTTATAGTAGGGATTGAGCCACTGCACCACGTTTTTGCTGACATCGTTCTTTTGCTGGACCTTTTCTGGCTTTGCGTCCTTTTGCGAAGTTCTCTTAGAGTCGGCGGCCTCCTTTTCTTTTTTCACCTCCGACGATGCTTCCTTTGAGTCTTTCCTACCGGTCGCTATGTTTTTTAGATGCTTTTCTGATTCTTTGGGCTCACGTCTACTTGATTTTAAGTCCCTAATCTTCTCTACGTCCGATTTTGCTTCTTTTGGCTTTTCTTTTTGAGATTTCCTGTCACGGTCTTCTTTATTCTCAGATTCCATTCTGTCATCGTCCTGTGTTCCCTTTGGTTCCTTACTTTCTAACTTATTATCCTTAACTTCTCTTTTCTCCAAACTCTTTTCCTTAAGTTTGTTCTTCTCCAACATTTCTCTGGCGGAAATAAATCCTAGTGTTTCAGGTTTTCTATTTGATTGTTCCCTCTTCTCCTCTTTCTTAAGCTTATTTCTCTCCAACATTTCTCTGGCTGAAATGAAGCCAATAGATTCGGAATTATTTTCCGACTGCTGCTTCTCAGTTTCCTTAGAACCCACTTCTTCAGTTATGCTGCCTAATTTTTCTTCCCTTTCCTGGAGCATTTGCCGAGCGGTTTTGAAACCAATCGATGGTTGCTCCGACTCCTCTTCAGATTCGCTTTTAAAAGAACCAAAAAGATGCTGCATGCTGGACGTTGTCTTTTTTGATTCTTTCTCTTTGGGTTGGTTTTGGTGCGAAACTCTTTTTCTGCGATGGGTGTCGTAGCTGCCATCGCCGTTGGACATCAGTTTGAATTTCCTTTCGCCAATTATGCTGTCGGGTTGAAGTTCAAGCTCTGGATCAGTGCTTTCTTGATCCATGGGCTCTTTTTTAACTTGCTTGGGAGAGGCTTCTTCTTTAGTTTCTTTTTCTTCTGTTTCCTCTTGAATTTCAGCAGCTTCTTTTTTAATAGTGACACCATCTTCTTCATTCGACGATTCGGATGGCTCATCTTTGATCTCTTTTTTGAAAAAGGAGGAAATCGACGTCTGCTTGCTGTTTTCCTGTTTGAATCCCTTTCTTTCTTTCAAAGCTTTAGGCACCTTTAGACTTTGGGGTTTCTGTTCTTCCAGTTCCTTTAGCTTCCGCTCAAAATACGCCACACTTCCTCCTGTCCAGACTCCTTTGGAACTCGTTTCCGGCTTTGGAATATAATCCACCAATAAAGGCAGCAATTGCGTCTTTCCTGTTTTTTGCTTAATGATGGAAATCTATAAAGTAAAAAAAAACATTATTAATTGTACATTTATCTCCCGCCAAATCGCATTTCAAACCTCTTTTACTAAGGCATGTCGGTACATATTTGCCACTTTATTCTGGCGAAACACGTCATATTCCATATCCACTGCTATTGCTTCGTAGTCATTATATTTTAGTACACTTTTTGGCTGCTGCTCCGGGTCCTCCTTGCACTTCTCCACATTGGCTTTCAGTGCATCGATGATGGCTGTGAGATATTTCTCCCGATGGGTGGACTGAAGTCCGGCGATTTTCTTCTCAGTGGCTTCCGCCTGTCGGATGCGTGAGATTTGGGCGGCAGTTTCTTGTTCCAGCTGCCGAGCTGCACTGATTTGTTTTCTCAGCTTGAACTGTTGCTTTATAAAATCCTCCGATTCCCTCTTGGCTTTCTTTGCCATGGAGGAGTGACTCTGGCCGGAATCGTCATCAGAACCGGATTCACCGGCTGCGTACTCCTGGGCAGCACGTTTTATACCAGGGCGACCTCCTGAAAGATGAAGTCAATGATTAGATTTTTAGACTGTAAAGACTTCAGAGCTCACCTTCATACAGATCTGCGCAATCCTGCATTGAAATGTGCGACTTAAAGGTGTCATCCATAGTCAATCGATGGAACATCTCCAGCGCCTTCTCCACTTTTTTGGGACGCTTGCAGACATCACATTGGTTATTACAATCCGGCGCTGGATCCCCAAAGAAGTCCGAGAAAAGCTTGTGCCTGCAGGTGATCCGTTCACAAAACTCAGTGATCTTTTCAAACTGCTTTATGGCCCTCTCTGTGAGCAGCTCCTTATCACCACGACCCCTCGCTCTGTTGGCATCGTTTTGAAGCAGGAAACGTATGCTTCGGACATCTTCACGAGCATAGTATAGTCTACAATATGACTGCAAGCCATCGCGTCCAGCGCGACCAGATTCCTGATAATAGGCGGCCACATTTTGGGGTACATCCCAGTGGATTACGAACCGCACACTCGGCTTATCCACGCCCATGCCAAAGCTGTTGGTGGCGCATATGATGGGCTGATCGCCCCGCATCCAGGCTTCCTGAACCTCAGTGCGTTCCCCTGTCTTCAGACCAGCATGGTAGGCCACTGCTCCGACTCCCTGCTTGCTGACCCCTATCGCCATGCGTTCCACCTGATCGCGAGTTCGGCAGTACACGATTCCACAGCCTCTTTGGGGCTTGGGCTGCTCCTTGAACTCCTTGGGATCGCCCAAACAATGCCTGGCAAAGTCTGCCAGGTGCTGAAAATCATCCTCTATTGAGTTCTTGTACACAATGTCGTAGAAGAGGTTCTTCCTGAAGCTGGGAGTGCTGAATTGGGCCACAGGCTGGTGCAGACGCAGCTGCTTGTATATATCCTCCTTGACTTCCCGCGAGGCTGTGGCAGTCAGGGCCAACCAGGTGATGTCCGGATACTTGGAACGCAGCTCCCCCAGCTTGAGGTAGTCGGGCCTGAAGTCATGACCCCACTGGCTAACGCAGTGGGCCTCGTCCACCGCGAAATAGGCCAGTTTTTTGTGTTTGTGAAGGGTTTGCAGTAGTTCCTGGAAAAACTTGGTGGCCGCCTGTTCCGGGGTGATGTAGAGAAACCTCAGATTCGTTTTCACCGCCCGCAAATCCATTATAACGCGATCCCGTTCCTTGGTGCTCATCTTCGAGTTCAGCGAATCGGCAGGCACCTTGAGCTTGGTCAAATGGTCTATTTGATCCTTGATCAGGGCCAAAAGCGGTGAGAAAACGATGGTTATTTGATTCTCGGACATCAAGCCGGGCAGCTGGAAGCACAGGGATTTACCCGAGCCCGTGGGCATCGACACATACACATCCTGCTTTTCTGTAAGGGAATTACGAGACGTATTATCAACGGGATTGGGTAAGCATTTGGCCCATACTCACTTTTGACGGCGCACTTCACGGCCTTCTCCTGCAGCTCCGATTTGAATTTCGAGTGGCCAAAGTGCCTCTTCAGCGCCTCGTGCACCGCGCTTTCCTGCGTCATTCTTGGGCCGTTCTTCAAACTGCGTTTTATTTAAATAAACATTACTCTTCTTGCGGCCAAAACTCGTTGCCGCCAAAACAGCTGCTTTAGCGATGGGCAATGGAAACGGCAGCGTGGGTAATCGATAGCCATTCTGTGCGATAGAATAGAGTGCTCACACTATTTGTTATGCATTTCACACTGCCAAAAAGAAAAGGGGGATTCCCTAAACTGTTGAATTGCTGAATTGTTGAAAATTCAACAAAAAATTTCAGCAATTAAGGGAACGACCCAAAATGGTTCCTGTTGAATTTTCAAACAGCTGTTATTTGTTGAAAAATTTCACGGAACTTAAAGCATGTAAAATTTGATTTATTATTGCTAGTTACTGTCTAAAAGTGTTACCAAGGTAAAAAGAACCACAAATATGCTTTCAAAGTTTATTTTAAAATAAATAATGCGTACTGGTGATACTAAAATGTTACAGAGTTGCCACGACTTTTAAAAAAAGGTGACAACTCTGGCTTTTCAGCAATTCAACAAAATTTTCAACAGCCCCGAGGCTGATGAATTGCTGAAATTTCTGAAAGTTGGCTTTGTATGGAACAGCTGATTAACAGCTGACCAAAATTCAACAATTCAGCAATTCAACAGTTTAGGGAATCCCCCTTATTATTCAAAAATATCAATTGATTAAAGATAAGATAAATCAATCTGTACTCTCGGTTATGAACCCTGTTTATAAAAATCCCAGTAAAATCAAATTATAAATATTTTAGTTCCTAAAATACGGTGGATGTACTGAGTCAACCAAGTTACACAAACAACAATGTCCGGGGATTCACAGAACCCGTTGACGGTTTTGTGGTGGGTTGGTTTGAAATGCAACCAACTATAACCGTCTTTGTCCTATAATCAATAGAGTTTTGGATTGAATTGTCCCAAATTTTGGGAACGTGGACAGCCCTGTATGAGGTGTTTTGGAGACGGTTACGGTATTACAGAATCAATATGGAAGTAAATTTGCTCTAATATTGGTAATGGTAATGGTAAATGGTAATGGTTTCCGAAGATAATTCAAGCAAAAAATGTATAGTTTCACAGGAGTAATCATTTGGCTAAATAATTCCATTAATTCTTCAACACCTCAGTCAGTGTTCCAGATCAGGGGATTTCCCCCTAAATTAGGGGTTTTTAGTCTTGCTAGGAGGATTTTTAGAGGATTTTGTATTACCAAATGTTTGGAAAAATCACTTAAATATTAAAACATACACATATACGCAGATTTTTCCAATAAAAAAATGTATAGTTTCACAGGAGTAATCATTTGGCTAAATAATTCCATTAATTCTTCAACACCTCAGTCAGTGTTCCAGTTCAGGGGTTTTCCCCCTAAATTAGGGGTTTTTAGTCGTGCTAGGAGGATTTTTAGAGGATTTTGTATTACCAAATGTTTGGAAAAATCACTTAAATATTAAAAAATACAGATATATACAGATTTTTCAAATCTAAAGATCGGCTGAGTTTTTCAATACTTTTCCGCTGGCAATCAAAACGTAACGAAACAACGTAAAGTGCAATCAAAAGGTCTGAGCCAGAGAGGCAGAGCGAGCGTAAGAGCGTAAGAAACGGAAAGAGTTTCCAAGAGTAGTAAGAGTTTCGTCTAAGAGTTCTCTGGATTTTTTAGGGGGTAAGCAACATTTTCATCTGGCAACACTGACTGGTAAAAAGTTACGCATACGACATGGTCACACGGGAAATTCGGAAGGTGGGTCGCGGGGTGCGTTTTCAAACCAGCACCTCAGTCAAAATTTTTCCGCCGACTCGCTAGCACGCGCTGTGCTGCTTTCTCCCGCGTTTCGCGCTTTGCTTTCAATTCGCCTTTCGTCGCGGTGCGTTTGTGTTGGTGCGAGTGCGTGTGAGCAGTGCGTGTGCCGCTATTTGTTAATTGTTAATAATCCCGATTTAAAAACCCAACGGCCATGTTGCACTTTAATTGCTCCTGAGCGCAAAATGCACACTGAAAAACGCCATCGACCAAAATAATAATAATAATAATAATGCCGGCAAACAAAGCGGTGTGCTAGTGTGCGGGTTTGTGTGGGTGTCTGCGTTTGCCGAAAATATTTACCGCAAAAAGAACAAACACAATCGAAGCGAATCGAATTCTAATCGAAGCCAAACAACAACAAAAGCCGGCGGAATTAGCTCTCTCTCACTCGCTCTTTCCCCCAAAAAAGAGAGTTATTAAAAGAGATATCAAAATGCAAAAGCAACAACAACTTCTGCATTGCAGAAGAAAAGCAACAAATGCAACAACAACAACTGCCCGCCTTGTGATATTCAGCAGTCTTCTTCTCCTACTGCTCACCACCCACTTTCCACCCACCGTTCGGGCGGACAATGGCCCCGCCCCCCAAGTGGCTGCCCTAGCCGCCCCCAACCCAGCGGGGGGCGTGGCAGGATCCTCGATCATCGATCAATTCAGTCCGAACTGCAGTGCCGTGACGCATATTTTCCAGGCGAGAGGCATCGATGCCAACGAGATTCCCCAGAAACCCAGTAACGGTGAGTGCAATATTTGTTATAATTTTGTGGTCTAAATAAATGAAATCATTTGAGATTATAAATTATTTACTATTGAAGCCCTCCATATCGTGCTATAATAGTTGATATAAAGTTAACAATAGACAATACAAATACAGTTTAAAGGAATTTAAAATATTTCAGTTTTAAATCTTTGCTTAGGAATAATAGGAACTAAATTAAAAGATAAGAAATAGCTAATTAAATTTTGCAATTATTGTAATAAAAACAAAACTTAAGTGTTGTTCATTAAAAACTTGCTTTCAAGCTAAATAAATTCCATTGCTTCTGTAATAAAAACTTTGACGTGAAGAAGTTGCAGTTTTTAGTTGGCTAATTATCTCTTATTGCCGGCTCTTATGGTTGTCAATAAAATGGTACAAATTTTAATTTGATGCGATAAGAAACGAGGTCTTTGCATTGATCAAAGTGCAAAAATATTTGAAGTGGTGTCACTTATGGTGGAAAAGTGGCAATCAAATTAGAATGAACGTAGGGCCTTAAACATAAATTAAAACTCTTAAAATATATAACATTTTAATAAAAATCATTGATTTACACACTTCTAATTGAAATTATAATAAACTCTCAAAAGGTATAAAAATAATATCTTACCAAAAAAATTAATTTAAAGTTTTTAATACTGAATGAACGTTTGTTAGATCTTAAGAAATAAAGTTTTATGAGCGAGTATAATCCTTAAACTCTTTGGAATATTTCATAATGTTGGTAAATCGCCAGAGATAAGAAACAAGTCTGAATCACAAAGGAACAAAGAGAACTCGCTTTCAAATTGGGCGATTCCGTGATTCATTCTGCTCCTTCAACGCGTCTTAAATTCTCCCCCAGAACCCCCCAGCTCCTTCCCCTTCCCCATGAAGGAAATAAAATTCCAGGCAAATCAACTCGAAATGCGAATGAGCAGCAGCACAAGGTAGGCTCTAAATAAGAGAGAGTCCATCGCGGAGAGCGTGTCCATCCCAGAGATCTTGGCGCATGCGTCGCCTGCTCATCGTGGGCCCTCATTCCTGCCCCTTTAAAATCCGCGCTCCGCTGCCCCTTTAGAGGAAAGGGTTCCAGTTTCCAAGACCAGTCCAAAAGGCAGAAGCAGCCGCAACGAAAAATCTCAAGAAATTCCTTATTGATGTACAAAAAAAGAAAATAAAACCCGAAGAGAGCAGTCATACAGTATAGCTTCGTTGGCATGAACTGGTTTATTAAATGAGTTTATTCAGGATGTATTTGTTTATTTATTGCTTTGGTTTCAAATTGTTATTACCTTTTTACCTTAGTTAATGGAATCAGAATCAGAATCTAAATTACACAAAATACTTATTGAAAATCTATATATTGTTTTAGTTTTGTTATAATAAAAATTAAGAAAATACTTTTCATATTGCCCAGGAAATAATAATAGAGTTTCGAAATTATAAGTTTATTTGATCTAAGCTCTAGAAATCTCTTTATAGGGATTTGGGACTGTGGGACCCATTGAAAGGCTCTTCAGCTAGTGCAAGAGCAAAAATGTTGTCACACCGCTTTTACGCTATGTTCGATGGGGCGGAGGGGGGTGGGGCTATGGGAGGACCTAGTCTCGACCTCGATCGCCTGTGGGTTTTAGTTAATTTGTATAAATCCTGAATTAATCACGCTTAATTGCAATAAGTTGCGCAGCCCTCTCGTTCCCTCTTCATTCCTTCTCTCTCTTTGTTTGATGTTGCCAGGTAAACTGTTGCAGCCTCTGCCCTTTTGCCCCCCTGCCCTTCCTTTGGCCCTTTACCTGCGCCCTGCCTTTGTTTATTTTTGGTTTTCAACGTTGCCTGATTGGTTTTTTTTCCTCCTATATATGTTTTCCTTATTCTTTATCTTTTGGTCAAATGCATTGCGCGTTGCGTTTCGTTCATAATTTCATGGAAATACTGGTGGGGGAGGGGGCGATAAGGGGGCGGGGTGGCCAACAGGTAGAGTGGTCAGTTCTCGAGTTCCCTTTTGTGTTGTCTTTGATATTAATCAAGGTGTCATTGAAATCGTTTAAATTATGCAGTTCAGGATTTTTATTCTCTGTCGGCATTTTTATTGGAACCTTTTACTTCCCGATCAACTCGTACCCTTCCCCGAGACTCCCTATAAATATGCACTCAAAATAATAATTATAATCTTTGAATTTGTCTTAAATTTGGTTAATATTACTGTTTTGATATATAATTAAATCTTTACAATTCTTTTAATGTTTTAATGCGTATTATATATTTTTGACTCGTTGTTAGTTTCATGGTTTGCATTAAAATTTAAAAATTGAATTTCTAACAAAGTAATCGGTAAAATATATATTTTAATAATATTTCTTGCTAAAAAATAATTTTAGGTGCTTAGAAATGTTTTCTAACAGTTTCATGTATTTTTAAATATTTTATTCTATTTAATTTTTCCCTGTGCCCAGCTTCTCTCTCCATCTTTCACCGTGTGAGTCATAAATTCTCATGTTCGCCCTCTCTTTTCGTTCGCTTCTTCCCAT